AAAATAAATAAATAAGTGGTCCGAAAAAAGTTAATGACAAAAAAAATACACATAACCTTCCTCAGGCAGTGTGTTTGTCCCGGGGACAGGAGACACCCCCTTGATGAGAAACTGTAAGAAATGATCGGGGAATCCCTCCGGAGTGGAGTCATGACGACTGGATCTGAATTATTTTTGTTGTATTTGGTGGTTTGTGTTCCAGCTGTCGATCAGCAACTATATATCCATAATCCACCAGTTAAAGGAAATACAATGTGTTGTGTTATATTAGCTGTACAATTTACCACATATGGTGTTCTTAGTTTCCATACCTCCTGTGTTTTACGAGCGACTTATCAAGTCTTGGCAAACGGCATAAAACACGATTAAACGTGATAGTATATAAAACCATGCTCGTATCTACAACCTATAGAAATGCAAAACGGCGTCAGTTTAGACGTAATTCTGTCCTCCTGCTTACCGCATCATTTATGAGAAAACATTTCATAACATTAACACAACATATTCGAGGTGGTTTTAAATAGCATATCCGTATTTATTTATTTCTCCAAGTTATGTTTTTGTGTGCACTGAGGAGTCTCAAACAGGCGTTTGTTTAATCATTTAAAGATTGGCTTTAATCAATATTTGAAAATGAATTCTTCATATTTGATAAATGAGAGGTAACATTTTATTTATGGTATTATTTCCACATATTTCTCTCCATTCTTCCTTCTGCCAACGGTGTCGCAGTTTCTCGTCTCTCCCGTTGTTGTGCTTAGTGCGTACGCATGGGTTAGAGTTTGCGTGGAGGACAGCACATTTTCCCGTCAAGTTAGTATTTTATAAATCGCAAACATTGCGTAGAAACTGGCGCACGCCATTTTTTGAGCGTATATCCCTTTATAAATGAGGCCCCTGGTCTGCTTCAGTGAGAATGCTTGTAAAGCCTCAGCCCTGCACTGCACTCATGTTATACACATCTTTCTTTTTAAGACAAACTAAGCTGTCAGGATGTTTCTGCTGCAGGGATGTTACATTAATGTGTACATAATAACAACAACATGTGACCATGTACAAGCTTCAGAAAGACTAAACAACAACAAACTATAACAAGTGTAGTTCACTGACTGTGGCAGAGCACTGATGATCTTTACATTAAAATAACAAGAACAATCCTACACTGCATAATTCACTCTGAACCTTTAAACACCTGAAATACATTTTATATTCTCCATCCTGCTTTTAGAAAATAAATTATAAAAAATACAGAAATACAAAAAATATTTCTGTTAAAATTATCAAACAAGTATTTTCAGTTGTTGCTGTTTCCAACATGTTCCTGAAGCTACATGATGCCTTACTGACTGAATAGTTTACTCTGAAGAAGCTGTGATTTGATGACTCCACTGTTCCTAAAATACATATTCTGCATGTTTTTCTTCACATTTCAAATTCATCCTGATTTGTGATCTTTGTAAACGTTGTGATCTTGAGTTGAATCAGTTTCTGTGGTTTTTGTTGGTCTGCATGATTATTAAACCTTGAATTGTTTCCAACATGTTCCTGGATCTACATGATGTTTACACTGACTGAATAGTTTAAACTGAAGTAGCAGCACGTTGTCTTTAATATTAATGAGAGCTCTTTTCCTCTTTCTGTCTCTCACAGTTTTTAACCTGTTTGGAGTTTCCACTTTCTAAACTTCTTCAGCTCTGAACAGATTATTAAACCTGGAGTTATTTCAAACAGGAACATTGTTTTCTAAAGTTACATCATGTTTTCTTTATTCAGACTGAGAGGCTGCAGGTTGTCAGAGATCAGCTGTTCTGCTCTGGCCTCAGCTCTGAAGTCCAACATCCATCTGAGAGATCTGGACCTGAGTTACAACGATCTGAAGGATTCAGGAGTGGAGCTGCTGAGAGATCTTCTGGAGAGTCCAGACTGCAGACTGGAGACTCTCAGGTCAGTTCTCCATCTGTAACTTCTGTGCTGAGATGAATATGTGAGAGTTGTGTTGACTCTGAGCTGCAGACATCAGGCTGATATTACTCTGATCCTCACTGAGCATCTTAACCCTCTACAGTCTCAGCCCTTTGTTCATATTGTTGGTGTCCTGGTCTGCTTCAGTGAGAATGCTTGTAAACCCTCAGCCCTGCACTGCACTCATGTTATAAACATCTTTCTTTTTAAGACAAACTAAGCTGTCAGGATGTTTCTGCTGCAGAGATGTTACATTAATGTGTACATAATAGGGCTGTCAGTCGATTAAAATAGTTAATCGCGATTAATCACAAATTAATCGCACATTTTGTATCTGTTCTAAATGTACCTTAGAGGGATATTTTTCAAGTTTTTAATACTCTTATCAACATATGAGTGGACAAATATGCTTTATATGTTTGTTTATTATCATTTGAACATTACAAATATTCGCCTCAATTCAACCTGGAACCTCTCTCTCTCTCTCGTGTGTGTGTGTGTGTGTGTGTGTGTGTGTGTGTGTGTGTGTGTGTGTGTGTGTGTGTGTGTGTGTGTGTGTGTGTGTGTGTGTGTGTGTGTGTGTGTGTGTGTGTGTGTGTGTGTGTGTGTGTGTGTGTGTGTGTGTGTGGCCGTAATTCATACTGGTCCTCTCACGCACATACAATCTCCTTTTACATACATACATTTTCACTCTCACACACGTACAGTATATATTTACACTCACACACTCACACATTCATACATTCTGCTCTCATATTATCATATTTCAATGCACACATTCATATATTGTCACTCACACATGTACATTTTGCTGTCATATTCATATATTTTAACGCACATATTTATACATATTGCTCTCATGCACATTCATTCAATGTTTACATTTAATATTATAAATAATTTATGCATGTCTGAAGACAATATATGTATGCAAGAGAAGAATGTAGAAGCCCATGAAGAATTTATACTTCCACAAATCTTTTCATCTGCTGTATTAATAAAGTTGCCACGTGTTTTCAAGTTAAGGCACTATCTGTGCAGAACATGAACCTTTTAACTGCCAGACCAAGAAAAAAGCTATGGAACAATTATTTGTTTGCATTTTTGTATCAAATGGGCCACAACTAACCACAAACACATTTCTTTTTTTTTGACTGACCACACAGTTTTGTTTTTATGGTAAAAGTGCATTTTTAACAATCATCATACAGTACAGTATTTGTATGCATCAAACTCAAATAAAACACAAACTGAAATAAAACAAATTATTTTATGGAAAATGAGCAATATATAGATATATTCATAAAAGATAATAAATTATAATTTAAAAAAAAGGGAAAAAAGTAATGTTAAGTGTTTTTCATAATAAAAAAAGACTTGCTCATCTTACGATGCTGAATTGGCCTAACAGGAAACCACTGGCCTAACAGCAAATGTCTATATCCTGTGTTGGCCTAACTTGCTCATCTGTGTGCAACTTCGGGCTGAATGCCATGCATGAAAGCTGCTTTATGAATTATTATCGCTCTTTCACTCTGAGACTCATAAGGCAGTACTAGATTTAGTAATATTACCATGAATCTAGCCATTTATTTACCATATTTTATTGGAAAACATCTCTGAAACTGAAAAAGTCGTATTGCTAGTTTACCATAAAAGGCCAAATCGACCGATTGGTTGAGCATATTTTCAAAAAAATAATTACACCCTTGTTAAAACTTTGTTTGTGCATCAACTTATCTAATTATGTTCACTCAGTGCTCTGACACTAAAATATGTCAAACATGACATTACCTTACAAAAGTTGACCAAAAAGAGTGATTTCTTCAGGAGTGATTTTTAGCATGCCAACTTTCTCAGTTGAAGCTAGCTGAAGGGCTTTCTATTCAAACCACAGTGACATCTAGAGGTTGTTTTGTGCTTAACATGTCAACCAAAGGGTAGAGCTGGCTGAATCAGATGGAGTTAAACTTTTTAATTTATTTTTCAACAAGATATGATGACACAAAATGAGCTCTACCAAATGGTGGCGCTGGCTGTTAAAGGGTTACAAATATTCTTCATTTGCAGTATTTTATTTTAAAAGTGTTCAGAAAGACTGCATCAATGATATGCTATATATATATATATATATATATATATATATATATATATATATATATATATAATATGAATATTTGTATTAACTTCAACCAAAGTCAATTTAAATAGCGGGCAAAAATGGGTTAATTGCCATGGATGTGGTGTTTGATATAGTTTACGTTCAATTTCAACTATTTTAGGCAGAAAAACGTCTATTGACTAAACGCTTTTTATTAATTTACTATTTAGAAAGATTTTTGTGAGAAATCATTTCAAAAGTAAAAAATGTTTTCCTTTTGTATTTAAATTTGAAATGTTTGCACCAAACATTATTAATTTATACATTTTTATCAATCGTTTAAAATTATGAATCCATTTATTTTATTGTATTTCCTTGAGGCTGGGGAAGATATCCAGCATGTAGTTCAACATGCAAATGTTCTAATGCAAGTAAGTATAAGTATAATGGAAAAGTAAATAAAATACGTTTCATAGGAGGATGTGGAATTATTTTCTCTCACCTTGTAATTACACAATCAAACAATCTATAGTTTAGCTCTGACCTTCACAAAAACATTTTGTTGAATTGGACACATTTTTCCAAGCTCTATTGACTGACATGCAATGACTGGGACTGATGGAAGAATCTGAGAGGAACGAACTAGGAGCAGAGAAATAATCATATTTTAAAAGACAGCAGCTTCATAAGAGGCCAACAAGAGTCACAAGGGTGTGTCACTTTGCTGAAGGATAGTTGACCAGCTCCAGGCCAGACTCTAAAGACTTTCCATGGTGTAAAATGCTGCTGCTGGAGTACTAGTGCTGATATCATGTCAACCATCCTCTTAAAATACTCTGTCCAACAATATAAGTCTCATGAAGAAAGGTGTTTAAACGCTTATTCAAAATAGTAGAGAAACATGCATTCTTGTACTCATGAGGGGACATTGACAGAGGATTACTCAAAAAGTACACAGTAAAAGTACTTCATAGTATTTGTGGGAGTAGTTTCGCTAGTAGCCTACTGAGTCCAACAGGATCAATCTCACGAAGAACTAATGGCAACAAATGGCATTTTTCCCCTCATCAAACTTAGCAGAAGTGGCTTGATTTTGTTCTCAGGAGGGGACTTTGACAGAGGATTTCAACAACAACACTACTGAGTCCAGCAGTATCAATGAACTAATGGTACAATTGTCTTTTTATCATTCATCAAAGATAGCAAAAAAGCATGCAGTGTACTCAGGAGGGGACTTTGACAGAGGATTACTAAAAAAGTACACAGTAAAAGTACTTCAATGTATTGTTGGTAGCAGGCAAACTAGTACCAAGTCCAACAGTGTCAGTTTTATTAAGAACTTGCGGTAAAAAATATTTGTAAAAAAAAAATGAAGAGCAGCTGATTTGAAAAAACAAAGTGGAGAGACGGCTGAGTGACCGCAGTGCAGAACCGCTGCATAGTTTAAATCTCCTAACAATGTTGTCCATTTTAGACAAAGACTTATTATATTTACAGCCCTGAATAACATTCATTTTCTGGGCTCAATGTGTGTCTTGGCCGTTTTCGTTGTGATCGCTAAATTCACCTCGTTTCCCCTTGTTTATTATCTTATCAACGTTCCAAGCAAACGAGTGCTTTTGTTTTGAAATCACTTCCGCGAGTTTCACGCCCCTCGCTCCAACGACCATTAGACCATTTAGTAAGGTACAAAACTAAAAGCAAAAACGCCTCTCAGACACTCTTCCGTTCACTTGTTTAATAAAGAAAAACAAATGGTCCGTAGATACACAGATTCATCTCCCTCCATCATGTTGATTTGAATCAGAAGTTCTGAACATGAGCCCGCCCCGCTCGACCTTCTGAGCCAATCACAGCGCGATAATGACCTGCCTTCCGTTTCAACCGTACTCCTTCCGTTTCCACTATACTTTCTCTCACACATACATGCAGTGGCGGCCGGTGGTCTTTTTTTTTGGTGGGGCTCTTGACGTACCGTAAGTGACCTACCCGGGGGGTCCGGGGGGTTTCCCCCCGCAATTTTCTTTCGAGAAATGACCCCTTAAATGATGACTTCTGGTGATGTTAGAGGGGGGGGGAAAGGAGAAATCGAGGCTTAAAAATATGAGAAGACTCCACTTTATCAATACCTCCATAATCTTCAGTGTGGAAAATATTATTTATCAACCTGAACATCTACTACTTTACCAGGAATTTGTGTTCTCAGAACTGGTCTGTTTTTTTCTTTCTTAAAACTGTTCATGTTTTATGAACCAACACCTTCACCAAGTAGCTTTACAGTGAACTGCATGTGAGATATAAAATTAATAGCATCTTTTCAGTAGCATTAATTATAAATATTTAAGTGGTTCAATACAAGTCACTACAGCATTTCAAACTGAACTGTGAATAAATGCAATTTAAAAAAAATAACCACAGCACAAAATGTCATAAATTGTGTTTTTTCTTTGTTTCTCTGAGGATTATTTACAAACAGGCTTATTTACATATAGCAATAACTCAGAAATGAAAAAGCTACATCGTCTAACACGAACAACCAGTTAGCATAATGATAATATATGTGTTATGTACAATGTAACTGGCAAGGCTAGAGCAAGAAAGAACATAAAGTTTGCAAAAGGTTTAAATAACTTCAAGTATCTGTCTTCAGATTACGTGGAGGTTTTAGTCCGATGGGAAGCAGATTTTAAGCGACACCGAAGATAAACCAAAAATGTGGTGGAGCTGCAAACCGTGTAGTGTTGCTGGGACAGAACAGGAGCTATAACCGTTGGAAATACATCACAGACAATGCAACAAACGTGGAGACAGAACAATCACTTCTGTGATAAATGCCCACTTATTAATAAACTTCTAATAACCATGGGAAACCTCCTCTCTACATATAAAGTGATATCCAAGCATGGGAAACAAAAGACAGCATTTACCTGTTTGCATCCAGCTAGCCAAGCCTTTCTTGTGTACCAGCTACTTGTGAAGCCTCGTGTATACATTTTGTCTTTTTCACGAGATTGCTGCGATATATTCAAATCGGGTTGGTCCGGTCCAAGGTCTTTAAGCAACAATTTATCTGCCAAACTTCTCCTTTCGAAAGGATTGGAGATTAGCTCTTGAACAGAATTAGGCGGGTACCGAGGTCCGGAGACTCCACCTGCACACGAAGCCATCCTCATCAACTACTGCGTCAACCGGATACGAGTCACTGTCCAAACTACTCACAGACTGCACTGGGCGCTGACATTGGCGCCCGGTGACCGTCATCTTTGACGACGCTGATTGGCTGAAATTATATTTTCGCGGCATAGTTTACACGTTACAGATAGCAACAGTCAGCTGCTAGTGGCTGCTGCTGCGCTGGTTGAAGGCTCTTCTCTTAGCGCCCAGACGAGAGAAGGTGCATGGGCAAGGCCAGGCAGGAAACATGTGACTTATCAGTAACTTTAGACATCGTAACACAATTTTAAACGAGATTTTATTGTAGATTATACATTTTACTGATACCAATTATATAATATTTACCTTGTTCATTAAAAATAAAAATAAAAATATATATATTTTTTTAAACATTTTTTTTTTTTTTTTTTTTTTTTTTCAATATGGGAAGAGGTGGGGCGGCGCCCCTAGCGCCCCTATGGACCGGCCGCCACTGCATACATGCATTCTTCTCTTGCATACATATATTGTCTTCAGACTGATTCTATAATTTAGGGTGCATTTCACATCAACAAAACAGTACAAAGAAAGTGTTCTTTCTCAATAGAACAATCAGTGGTTCAAGTTAGTATATTCCTCAGTGTAACATATCCACTAGTTGCAAAGCTTAAACATTTTTATTATTATTTTTATTTTAAGGGAAAGGATGTTTTCACTACTCAGTTTGTCAACTATGTTACGGACAAACTTGATGTCATTACAATCATTTGATTAAGTCCTGCACTTCAAGTAAAATCACATTTGAAAGGCTCTTGAGTCTATTCTACCACATATCCAAAGATTTTTTAAAGTTTAAAAAATAATTGTATTAAAGTTTTGTTTTTTCATGTGATATGTTCAGCACTGTCATTAAGTTTAGGGATATTTTGTATTATAAAACTACCATACAGGCCATTTTGATAGTTTTAAGAGATGTCATGTAAAACTCCAACCTGTGTAGATGTACATTATACTATAAAGGATATCGGAAGCACTATTTTAGATATTTTAAATTTGAAAAAATGAGGTGCAACATAGTTGACAATGAAAGTCAAACATTTGACGCAAATAACATAGTTGACTGGACACATTATTAACCATCAGCACTATGTTCATTTCAAGGCAGAAGTGCAAAATTCCATTGATAATGATGTGTAATGACGTCTACATGTCATACAAATTGTCAACTAGGTTACCTGTCAACTAAGTTACTACAGTTATTACAGTACTGGGTAACTTAGTTGACAATTTCCCTATTTTGACCCATCATTTCAATGGTAGGCCTTGCCTGGATGACCACATGTCATTTTCACATTTGAACATATAATTGAATTAAAATCATTAAACAATTGTAAACCATAACAATGTACGTAACATTGTTGATGGTCAATTAATATACTCATTGACAATGTGCTATTATACATAAAATATTGTAAAAAATTAGAGGACAATCACCACAGTGTGTTCAAAATGTCTGCCAAAGAGGAACATGGCATCATGTGATGCTGGTGACATGGTATTGGGACAAACCATTTTTTTGTTAAAGGGGGGAGTTCTGTTAGTAACATAGTTGACAGAACTTTTGCGGACATTCATATATTAAGATATTTAAATTATTTAAAGGAGGAAATCAATTAAAAAGATGTTATTATTCTTTAGTATTTAGACTTTTGAAATAAATGAATACTTTAATGGTTTTTATTCATTATTTTGAAACCAAGACACCCTCAACTGAAAAACTGACATAGCAAAAACTGACAATTTAAGAACATCATGACACATTTCAAGCTAAATAAAGCATAGGATGCACATAATGTTTGTGTGATATTATATCATGCTTTCCAATAATAGGCAAAATATGATATTTTTGAAGAAAATAGTTAGAATAATTATAATTATCATCAATGGACATCAATGGACATGGAATGTACCCTACATTGTAGAATCACTATGCATATATTATTTATAATATTAAATGTAAACATTGAATGAATGTGCATGAAAGCAAAATGTATAAATATGAGCGTTAAAATATATGAATATGAGAACAAAATGTAAAAATGTGTGAGTGAAAAACGTATAAATGTGTGAGTGACAATGTATGAATGTGTGCATTGAAATATGATAATATGAGAGCAGAATGTATGAATGTGTGAGTGTAAATATATACTGTACGTGTGTGAGAGTGAAAATGTATGTATGTAAAAGGAGAATATATGTGTGTGAGAGTGAAAATGTATGTATGTAAAAGGAGAATGTATGTGTGTGAGAGGACCAGTATGAATTACGGCCTGTACGGCCCCTCATACCAATCCGCGGAGCCGTTACGTTAAGCCCCCGCTGATTGGTCCAAATTGACCAATCCTTGGACTTCCTCACACACAGGCAGCTCTGCTGATTTCTCCTCCCTGGCTGCAGGCCGATAACAGACAGTTGGGATCGTGGCGAAATTCTCTCTGCAGACCCATTCTCACAGTGTTTATCAACCTTTTTCTTACTCAATATCAAGCCACACTTATTGTTTTTACTTCGGATGTGACTTTGTGTGTGCTCAGGATGAGTTTGGCTGTGTTTCGCTATGTATCCTAAACAAGGAAACAACACCTCCACGGAGCTCAGCGCGATTCACAACGTCCCGACCAATCAGAGCACACTGTGCTCACAGGGAGGGTGGGGGCTGGAGCTATTGGAGCTACAACGAGCCGTTAAAGGCAGAGAGTGAAATTCAGTGAATACACGTAGTTTACAGAGATGCTGTATGAGAA